GCCTGCTAACATGACGGCGGTTGAAGCTGCTTAAGCCGCCGTACCACCTGCTTCATCGTCGGCCTCGTCGACAGAGAATCGACTGTACACACAACTGCTAAGTGTAATACTTCAACCAGATCATCATGGGGGCCTACCTCCCATAACCCTGATGTGAAGAATTCCTTGGCGCGTCCCTGTGGAAGCAGCATACATGCCCAAGCTACAATGTTAAAGCCATTACCGTACGAGGAAAACGAGGGATCTAGTGCTTTCTTGTCCGAGAGTAGCTCGAGAAGCACCACACCGTAACTGTACACGTCTGCTTTATCAGAGACACGACAAGTCATGGCGTATTCGGGAGCGACGTAGCCGAATGTTCCAGCCACACCTGTTGTAGCATGGGTTTCAGAAGTCCCAAGAAGCCTGGCCAATCCGAAATCAGATAGATAAGCATTGAAATCATCGTCTAATAGTATATTGCTCGGTTTCACGTCGCGGTGGAGGACTCGTGGTACGCACTGATCATGAAGATATGCAAGCGCACGGGCTATGTCCAGTGCAATCTTGTGAAGAATTCTCCAATCCACTGCTCTTGTAGATCTCTCCTGGATGAACTTTTCCAAATTACCTCCTGGCAAATAATTATATATCAAGAACATCTCTGTTTCACTGGCATGGTAACCAATTAAGGTGACGAGGTTCGGGTGGCGCAGCCTTCCAAGAGTTTTAATCTCTGCATCGAACTGTTGGACGCCTTGAAATCGACCAACAGCGAGGCGTTTTATTGCAAGTAGCACTCCCGATGCAATCTCTGCTTTGTAAGTTGCTCCAAACCCTCCACTGCCAATGCAGTTACTGGTATTAAAATTGTTCGTGGCACGCACGACATTCTCAAATGTCAAAGAAACCCCAATATCAGTAAAAACCGTGACTTCCCTTCTCATTGATCCAATTACTTTAGACCTCGAATTCCACTTTCGGGTATATAGAAACAGGATAATCAAAGCAATAAGAACAGAAACAATGGCGGAGGCGGATGTAATGGATGCTATCTCAATTGAATTGAAGCTGCCACCTCCACCGGTCTGCGGTACAACATCAGACGGTGAAGCTGCAAGACTACTCGGGTCGCCAACTGAACCTCGCATTTCAGACGATGGCACTGCCAGTGAAAACATATGGCACGATCGTAGGTACGGGTTCCCAATCGCACCACTACATTTAATCATGTTGTTTGATGGCAATGAACCAGACAAGTTATTGAATGACACATTAAATGCAGAGAGTGTAGTAACATTTGCCAAACCAGAGGGAACCTGTCCAGAGAGTGAATTATTGCTGAGCAGCAGAACTTTTAGGCCTCTCAATTTAACAAGATCGACTGGAATTCCACCTGAAAGATCGTTATACGAAAGATCAAGCAACTCCAAAGCCTGCAACTTTCCGAAGGTCGAGGGTATAGAACCATTAAAGCTATTGCCAGCCAAACAAAGGTACTTTAAACCAGCAATCTGTCCGAGAGAGGCCGGTATGTGATACTGAAACTTGTTCCAACTCAGGTTCAGGTGATTCAGAGCTAATAGATCACCAAAGCTGGGAGGTACCTCGCCAGTCATCTGATTACCAGATGCATCCAAGAACTTAAGAGAACCACAGTTTTTACCAATTGACTTAGAAAATGGACCAGATATCTTGTTATTGCTAACATTGAAGATCAGTCCTCCCATATCCTCACATTTCTCAAATATACTATCAGGGAATGGCCCGGTGAGCTTATTACCACCCACAAGATAAGCATAAACAGTTTTCTTACCCAGTCTTTCACGTGGAATTGGAAACGACAGAAGATTTCCTGTAAAGTTATTCTCCCCTAAGTTATGTACTATCAGGTCATCATCTCCAAGAAATTCAAAAGGGGTTGCACCTCGAATACTAGTGGTAAAAAACGCAAGATATCGAGATGATGGATCATCAAGATCCAAATATCCCCTTGAAAATAACATCGGTGGCGAGCAATCATTGCCACAGAACACAGGAATATCTCCAATAAAGTGGTTACCACTAAGATCAAACAGAGACATATAAGGAACTGGAAGGTTTTTATCGAGCTCACCAGAAAGCCGGTTGGAGCTTAAATCAAGGACTTTGAGCTTTTTGCAGACGCTAAGCTCACTAGGAAGCTCCCCATAAAGGTAATTACCAGCTAAGTTAATCATCTCCAAGCTTTCACACTTACCCCATTTGGAAGGGAATCTGCCTTCGAGATTTGAATTAGGAGCCCACAGTATCTTCAGCTTTGGAAGGGTTGTTATCGACTCAGGTATACCGCCTGCAAAATAGTTAAAACCATCATCACTAAGTTCGTCTTCGTCTGTGTAATTGATCTTCGGAATTGGATCGAAGAGATTCGAGAGCACAAGAACAGACAACTGCTGGCAGTTTCCCAGCTGAGACGGTATCGGACCACTGAGGCTGTTCCTTGAAAGATCAAGCACTTCTAGCTTCTGTAACTTAGCAATGTCAGCTGGAATGGCTTCCTCCAACATATTAGAATACAGCAACAGTGTCTTCAACTGATTGCAATTTCCTAAATTTCTTGGAATCCCACTGACCAAATAATTACCAGAGAGGTCGAGATGCTCAAGCTTTCCACAGTTATTTCCAAGCTCACTCGGAATGGTTCCTGAAAAAAGATTCAAAGACAAGTAGAGCCCTCTCAATCGACCAACAAACTGTGGAATTATCCCATTCAATCGATTTCCAGCTAAATTCAAGATCTCTAAACTCGCACAACCCGAAAGCGAGCTAGGAATCTCACCAGTAAGCCTATTGAATCCAAGATTAAGAACCCGCAACTTGCTCAGTCTAAGGAAATCATCACGAAGCACCCCAGTTACAGAGTTTCCTTCCAGATCAAGAACCTCAAGGTTCTCCAATCCAAAAATTCCAGGAGGAATTTCGCCTTCAAAACCATTAAACGGAAGCGACAAAGACCTAAGCTCAGTGAGCTTCCCGATCACCGGCGGAATCTTCCCAATCAGTGAGCCTCTAATACCCACACAACCCCTCCTAATTCCAAGCCCATAAAGAGGAAATTTAGAAGAATCAGAGCACAAATGACCTCCACCGCCATTCCCGGAAATGTTGAGTGACACAACCCGAGAATTCAAGTCGCAAGAAACGCCAAACCAGACACAGCAATCAGACCCACTCGCAGTCCAACTCGCAAGCAACCCCGATGGATCAGAAACAGCATTTTTGAACTGAAGAAGCACCGATTTATCTGAATCGCCCAAAATAACTTCAGTCTGAAATAAAATAACGAAGCAGAAAAGCAAAAAGAACTTGGAAGTAAGTATCGGCGAAGTGTTTATACAAGAAGAGAACCATTTGATCACTGCAAACGACAACAAAGAGGTACCCATTCCCGAACCCCCCCCTTCGGAAGGGCCTGCTAGGAGAAAGAAAAAAAAAAGTTAAAAAAAAAAAACTAGCTTTCCAGAAGAAAATGAAGACAACGTCCAAAAAAGAAGAGAATCGTGTGAGAAGGTGAGGGAGAAGAAGAGCAAGAGGTCTGAGAACCCTAACCCTAACCCTAACCCTAACCCTAATTCTATTCTGGTTCAAGAAAACAGGAAAGGCAAAGGGAGGACGAAGGAGAGTCTTGGAGAGAGAAGATTCATTTTCAAACTGTGTTCTTTTACAGAATACGCGTTTTTCATTTTCTTCTCTTTTTTTTTAATTTTATTTTATTTTATTTTCCCCTTCGTATTTAATTTCTACGGGAGAGATATAAATTTGGGCCACCGGACATACCAGTAAAAGTGGGCTCCACTGGGGTCAATATAAATGAATTGAGAATTTGACGAATTAAAATTTCACTTTTTTTAATTATTATTTTATTAATAATATTTTTATCCGTTGAATTATATTTAAATTAAATAGGTGGAAATAAAATTGAAATTTTTGTAACGTTTTAATAAAAATGAAAATTGGACCAATTATGTAGAACGACAAGATTTTTGTAAAATTTAGTTAAAGAAAGAGAGATTCCCATAGCTTTTTGCCACGTGGGAGTTCATCCACAACCCAAATGTGGGGACCACACAACTCCTTAATACTTTCCTTTTTCATTATTATTATTATTATTTTAATTTTTTTTTTTTTTATTGATGGAGTTTGATGTTAGGGGTAATGAGGTCCAGGAAAGATAGGGCCCATGCCCTTAAAAGCCCATTGGTCATTTGTTGACTTATATTTCACCACGTTGACTTGTTTGACTTCGGAAATTACAAAGACTTTTAGGCTTTCCATTTTCCTCTTTTTTGCAATCAACTTTGAAATTGTCTTCCAAAATAAATTTAAACAATATATTTGGTTTCCCATACTTCAATGGACGTTGATGTAAAGCGAGAACGTTCACGGAAGAATTCCAAAAATTGAAGCTTTAAATGAGATGTGAGCTATAAAATGTGTGGTTCTTACGGGTGGGAGAGAGCGAGAAGCTTCCTCACGAGTAGTCGTAGGTTAGAGGTCACATCTTTTTTTAAGTTACATTTGAGTTAGTGATTTGTTGTTTCATATACTCCGGAGTTATAACCCTTGATTTGACACTGGATTACTTTTAGGGTTTATTTGAATATTACTTTTAATTAGAGATATTAATGGGTATGACCAGTAAGAGATAGATTTTTTCTTTTTTCTTATTTTTTTTGTCTCATCCCACAAAATTCTCTATTTATCTTTTATAGGGATCCTAATAGAATTCTCGAGTTTAACAATTAAAAATAAAAAAAAATCTAGTAAAATATTTTATTAAATATCATCATGGACAAATATTCTAAAATAAACAATATACAAATTTTAAAATTTTATTTTCATTTGGTATTTTAATAAACTTTTTATGAATTGGAAATACGAGGGTAAAATGGTAAATAAGAAGAAATTCGAGGGCAAACAGTGGAAAGAAGCTGAACAAAACAGCTTGGTGAGTGTTAAAGCATTATCCCCAAGAAACCAACGAGGGTTTGTTTGAGTTGAAGCTTCGGAGTTCATCAAATGGAGAGGGCAGCTCTTCACAAGCACTTCCAGAGCTTCAATGGAATAATTTCTTATTCCAATTCTACCCTCTACCCATGTACGAAATTACCCTTTTCTTTTCTTCTATTTTATTTCCAGATTTTCATTTTTTTTTTTCTCCATTTTTTTTGGAGTACAGTGAGAAGACGAAGAACAGAACAGCAGAACTCAAAATGCTTGTCGGGTGCTTCTTCCTTTCTTCTTCCCAAGCTGCCTACTGCCTCCAAACATCAGCAACGAATCAAGGTTTATCCAATTTCACTGTTTTTATGGCTTTTTTTCTTACCATTTTCAAATGGAAACGAAGTATGCGTTGGATGATAAAAGTCCCACGTCAGCAAATTTAGGGAATGACAGTGGGTTAAAGCCATGAGAGCTTATACTCAAAGCGGATAATATCATACCATTGTGAAGAGTCGTGTTCGTCTAACCGTATGAACTAATTGTTACGAGGGATGTTTAGGTATATGCGAGTAGTAGAAGAAGAAGAGCAAATGAAAGTAGTGATACGTATGTGCTTTTGGAGCCTGGAGAAGATGAGAAATTCGTCTCCAAACAAGAATTGGAAGCCATTTTGAAAGGTTGGCTTCAAAATTGGCCAGGAGAAGCTCTTCCACCTGATCTTCAACGCTTTGATTCCATTGAGGAAGCTGTTTCTTTCTTGGTTAAGTTTGTTTGTGAACTCGAAATCGATGGAGATATCGGTTCCATTCAATGGTATCAAGTTCGTCTCGAGTGATTCTTCGCACTTTATAACCCTCTTGACAAGAAAATTTGATTGGATTTTTTAAGTAAACGGACAATGGACTATGCATCTCCTATACATATATTGACATTTATTGAATTCATAGCTCTTGTTTATTGGGTTCATCTCTCCTTTATTTAGTTCATGGAACATTAATGTTTCTATGTTTATATAAAAAATTGTCTAAGATGGTTAAGATGTATTAAGTGTCTATTTAGTGACCATGGAAAAATTTTGTCGAGAGATACTACAGCAAGAGACACTTTGATTATTGAGATTTGTTGCTACATGTGAATGTAAGAGAATTTCTTCTTCTCCGAACCACGTAAGTCTTTGTATGTTTTTGTTAAATTTTCGTTTTTGGGTGTTTGAGTATGATCGATGTTGCTTCCACTTCCATTACAAGATTCAATGACTTGTCTCGACACAAGGATGATTTAATACAATTAAATTCATAAAGAATCATAAAGAAGTGATACAAGAAGCAATGGAAATGAAAAGAGAAGAACCCATGAAATTTTTGAGGCCCATAAGAACACATTTATTCAGCTATGAAGACTCATCTCTGAAATTCTGAGCTCATGCATCTGCATCAACAGAACAAGAACACAAAACCCTTCAAACATCTTAATCTAAAAGAATGAAAAATTATAACAAAGAGTAAGAGAAAGAAGACAGCTAACCTTGGAAGGGACAGCCCCTTTCCTGGTTCTGGCGAGAAGGCCTTTGGTGATAGGCGACATCATCAAATCTGTCGGACTTGTATACCTACAACAACGAATCCCCACTTTCAAATTCACCATTTTTCACATCGGACACCAAAAACTCACACTTCTAAGCCATTACCTTTCGTGATATTTGAATGCTTTCGGCACTTTCAGCCGATTCGGAGTACCATTCTTGGGCAATGCAATGCCCCCTCTTTGTTTAGCTTCTCCAGCCACGTTCGGGCTCTTCGGCACCTTCAATCGATCCATCATCAAACCATTTACAGGGACCAAAATCCTCTGTTTTTCCTCTGTTTTCTCATCTGGGGTTGGCGTTTTACACTCACATTTCGAACTTTCCATTTGGTCTTGGCCTTTTCCCTTCTTCTCTCGATCTGGGGTTCCGTTTATGGGCGTTTCAAGTTCTCGGGTCGCCGTCGTTTCGCCGGCGCCGGAAGTTTCAGATTGTTGTTCGGAATCTACAGGTTTTGACTGAGTTGGGGTTGTGGGAATGGTTGGTTCAGTCGCAATCTCCATGGGAACCGATGAGCTTCGAGGGATTACAGATAATCGAAAGGGAAATGAAGAAGAAAAGTGAAGATTCAGTGGGAATTTGAGCTATGATGAATTGGATTAGGTGAGAGTTATTTAATGGGAAAACAGAGAAGTGAACGTTGGGGAAGATGGGGAGAAAAAGGTAACAAACAAAAATAAATTTCAACGGTCGATTTTAGCCGAAAAAGAGAGTTTTGACCATTTTCTGTATTCAAAATAAAGTTTGGGCTTCTATTTGGGCTTGTTATCTTCCAGAAGGCCCAACTAAGCCCATTTTCAATCTCAAGCTCAACCTGTCAACATCAGCGATAAAGTTTAAATACTTTCAACTTTCCACTTTTTCTCCAAAAAAAAAAATAATAATAATAACTAATTTTAAATTTAAAAAAATACTATTAAGATTATTTTAGATAGAAATGGTTAATATTTTATTTTAAAAATATTCAATAAAGTATAGTTGGTGTCTTATCTATTCTATAATTTTAGAAGAATAATAATTTTTTTTTATTAGGCGAACAATAAAATTTATATTTCAAATTAAAATATTCTATAATACTACAAATTTGGTTTATTAAAATAATAATAATAATAAATGAGCTTTTTTTTTTTCTTTCTTTTTTTAATTAATATTTTATACTAAAATTGGGTCTTTTTATTGGTCATCAAAAGATACACTCTGAATTTTACAATATTTTGTCGTATATAAATATCTCAGATAAAATCGGTAGACCCCCTTCCCTACATCGGTCTTAACAGTTTAGGTAAAAAAAAAATTGACTATTAGGTGAATCAATTTTATCTTAAAACAATTTTGACCATTAGGTGAATCAATTTTATCCTAAATTATTAAATTCAATCATAAATTTATTTTTACGAAGATTACGAGCAATTTTGAGTTAAATAGTTTAGTGAGTATTATGATACGGAAACAAAATGATATCTTAATTAAAAACTCATGATATGATATAATTATAGAGTTTTTGTTTATTTGAACCAAACTCGACTTAAATAAGTTTATAACCCAATTTAAATCGTTTGATGGCCGAGACATCCAAAAAAAATTTAACACTCATACCCTATAAAAAAAATTACGGTTTGGGGTAAAAAAAAAATGATATTTATTGCAAAGGGAGTGGTTGGAAGTGTTTATTAAATGCTATTTCACCCCATTTTTCTTCCATTATTCGAAGAGCCTTAATTACAAATATTATAAAAATAAAAATAATTATAATTATGTTATTTAATTTTGTGTGTTCCATTCAAAATGGTTTAGGTATGGTCAAATCCCTACAAAATGATTCCTTTCATGGTTTTGTTTCAATAAAGAAACAACAAAAAACAAAGCTACTCAAACCCGCAAAGGGGAAAGGATCCTTCCATGGGAGATGGGACAACATTGTCTTTATTCTTATTACCTACTTTATTCATTTTTAGGTTTGTGTCCGTTTTATCTCGCACTCCATCGATATGGGTCGAAAAAAAAGGAAACACAGTGATGGGGTTTCTCTCGATCTTGGCATACTGATTGAGAGCGTATTAAATATGATTTCTGTTTGGTGTAATTTTGAGTTGACGTATTGGAAATTTTTTAAAAATTAATTAGTTTATTAATTATAAAATTAAATTTGTATGAATAAAACCCCGCATTTTTACTACTATTTCCGTCTCAAACCCTAAAATTAACCTTACAAAACTATTTTCATCACTCGAGACTAATGATCATGAAGGCATCATGGTTAAAAAAATATTTAAAATAATTAAAAGTTACTGTTTATATCAATAAAGTGCACATTTATGTTCGGTAACTCGATCATAGAAACTCCAATATTAAACGTATTTGCCTTCAATCCTATTTTGGACACAAAATGTTCGGGTCATTCTCAAATAATGTCACGTAACTTTATATTCAATATATATATATTAGAATAATTTTAAAATAGTAAAATTTTAAAAGGTAGAAAAGTAAGAAAGAAACAAAAGAAAAGATTTAGTTGAAAGTTCCCATTTGGTAAAAAGTATCATATTACTTTTAGATAAATGGATTAATAATTACACGTGGAATCAATTAAACTAAGCTTTGCCAAACAAAAAAAAAAAAAACTTTTTTTCCTAATTCTGAAAAAATAAAATTTGTTAGCAAAATTAAACCCTTCATTTATCACAACTACCAAACATTGCCTTATTTGAAATTACATTATCTTTTATTTATTATTTTTATAATAAAATAAAATAAAATACGCATTTATTAGGCACCTTTGCTACAAATTCGATTTTTTTTAAAATTATTTTTAGTTAAATTCTCTAAAATTCTTTGTATTTATGTGACAAGTTCTCAAAATTAAAAAATTATGTCTATTTTATTTTGTTTTAAAATATTTTTTTAAAAAACAATCTAATAGTCTAATAAATCTCTAAATTATTTTAATTTTTTTTTTGAATTTGTATCTTTTTATTTTACATTTTTTAAAAATTTATAAAACCTACGAGATACATAACTCAAGTTTAAAATTCTATTTTATCTAATAAATCAATTATTATTTTATTAGAATTTAATAACTCCAGATTTATTAGACATATTTATAGTTTAATCACAGGTTAAACACAAAATTAAAAGTTCAGGATATATTATATATATATTTTTATTATTTAAGAACTAAATAGACAAACTTAATTATTTAAAGACTAAACTTGTAATTTACTCCTCTCCATTTTTTATATTACGTAATCTAAAAAAATATTGGTGTAATCCCTTAAATAAGGGAATTAATTAGTCAACTTTCAATATAATTTTCATTTAAAGAAAAGTTAATGACAATAACAAAAGAAAATTCATATACAAATTTTATAGATTAAAACAAAATAATTAGTTTAGCAATTAAAATTAATAAACACTAAATTAAAATAATTTTTTAAAAAATATTCAAATTTTAAATTTTCAGTGGAGAATATCGAAACTTACATTTTATGAAGTGATACAATAATATTGTTCGAGACAACTTGAGCTATGCTCGAGTCAAGTACTTATGAATTTTTTCCCGAAGAGAAAAAAAAAAATGAAGGCAAGCGTCAATAATTTCCTTTGTTTTTATTATGTTTTTTATGTTATAAATTAAATGATGCAAAATATATTTATATCTTATTGGTGTTTGTTTTTTAGTACTTGATCAGTCACTTCTTTGAATACCCAATAATTGCCTCAAGGGATAAATAAATAGTTCGTTTTTTAAAAAATACACATATGACAAATTATTATTATTATTATTATTATTATTGTTAAAATTAAAAATAGAAATAGAAAATAATTTACATTTATTATTGGACAAAGGAAAAGAGCAGAAAATGGGGGAAATGTTTTCAACCAAATTGTGATTAAATTTATTTAGTATATATTATCAAACATTAATTATATGCTTAAGACTTGATATGGGCACTCACCTAATTTAATTATGTTTTTCTTGAACAAATTGTAATCCCACGAGTTAAATAAATTCTACCCTTAAAGGGGTATTTTTGGAATTTTGATTAGTATTCGATAATCTTAACATTCTCTTATCTTCCTTTAGAATATGACCACGTTATCTACCTATCTTAAAATATTTATTCTAGAAAGTTACCCAACCTAAATTTTTCAACATAAGTTTCCGAGAATTTTCCAACACAAATTCTTATTTTGAGTAAGTTTTCGAGGATTTTCCTACGTAATATGTAAGCCATGACAAAGTATGTTATAAAAGTACACGTGTTAGTATGCAATTATAATACTCACTCTTAAAATGTTTCAAGACAAGTAAGTAATGTAACTATGTCGTAATGAAGGTAAGAGAATATTATAGTTATTAAGTATTGAATCCAAATGGCAAATG